ATATATGTAATAATAATTTAATCCATATATTAAATTATTGCAATAATGTATATAATAATTTAATTAAATGTATCTAATACGCCTTATTTATTTTGCACTTTTATTCTGAATATTATGATTTATCTTTTCTGTCTTAAAATCGGCACAACCTCTGGTCCAAAGCTTTGCGGATTTCTGTACTGTATAATTATTAAATAATAAATTTAAAATTTTCTATAATGAAATGCATCATTGCATTTCCATCTCACTAGCATAAGAACTTAAAAATAATTTATTTATATTTGAATGTGATATCATTTGTATTTTTCTATAATAAGATTAGTATTTTATTTCTTAACAAATTTATTATCAATATTCACTCATTTCTGTCGTTTTTGGTGCCCAAAACAGTAAAATAACGGATGTTGTAAAAAATACGACGCGCGCGTGCTCATGTAAAAAATTGCCAAGCACGCATGCTAGAAGGTTAGATAATTAGATATACAGCATAATCTGTTTATAGACAGCTGTGTGCTTTCAAAATTTAATGAATTTAATACAAATAGCTATAGCAGTCCCTGAACAGTGTTCTTGGTGATGAGATGGCTGGTCCCTACCACCATTTCAGTGTAAAGAGAGCTTTGGGGTAACAACCTCTGGATTAGACGTCTGCTGGATTGTGACTGCCAGGAATATGTTTCCATGTATCCACTAAAGTGATACTTCAAATTTCTTTAACTCTATTTTTAACGAAAGTATCCCAATTATCTTCATTCTTAATCCAAAACAAAGCAGTTGAAGAATCTGACCAACATGTGTTTGGGACTTCTGTTAAATTAATTTCTCTTCTAATGCAGGCTCCTATACATGCTAATAATTCTAATATAAGAATGGTTATTTTCATCAAGGGAACAGCTCAGCTCTTAGCTTGAATTAAATGAACTTTGACCTTCATCACTGTTTTATTTATGAAGAAATACAACGTTGCTATAAGCCAATTTACTAGCATCTGCAAAAGTATGAAGCCTTAATCTTTCTTGAAAACCGTCACACTCAACATATCTTGGAATTTTAGTTCTTGATAATAAATGAAGGTCTTCCGTCCACAGCAAATACTGTGGACAGCTGAAAGAATATTTCTTCTTGCTACAGGTTCTTTCTGAAAAGAAACATTTTCTAAGTTACAAAAAAGGGCATCTGTATTTTTATCCCACAATAATCCAAGAATGGGAGAACCCTTTTCCATTTTATCTCCTGTTAAAGCAGTATATTCTCATCCACTTAAGTCAAAACATGCTGAAGCTTGAATTTGTTTAGCCTTGTGTGCGAATTGCAATAGTTCCTTTTCATCAGGTAGAGATATTACACAGTTATCCACATAAAAGGGGCGTTTTTTAACTTTTGCACAGTTTCTGGAAAATAATCCTGGCATTCCTCCAAATGAAAATTAATGACTGCAGCTAAAGAAGAGTGGACTGCATGCGAGTCCAAAGCTACCCTTTTATGATGATAAATTTTCAATTTTTTCACAAAATATCTCCACCAAAAAAATCTTAAATAGTTTTGATCTTCTTCAGTAATAAAAATCTGTAAGAAGGCCTTTCTTATGTCCAAAATGATGCCAGTCAACTTTTCCCAAAACCTCAATAGTATTGAAAGAATTTTCTCTAAGAGGGTTAATCCTTTCTCTAGAACATCGAGTGATGGAGAAGGATTGGATCTACAAGAAGGATCGAAAACAGGTCGAACACTTGTGCTGGAGTTTTTCTTGAAAACACCTCGATGGAGTAAATAATGGCATGGAGTTTTTATTTCTTCCTCAGGGGGTACCCCTTCAATAATATTCTCTGCTAACCAGTCTTGGAAAACAGCATCTTAATCTGCATATCTGCCTTCCTTATTAAGTTTCTCCACAGTTGACGCACACCTGCGCTCTCCAACCAATCTGTTTTCCTTCAAAATCTTCTGTTTTTCTAATCAAGGCAGCCTCACAATGTACTGACCTTCTTTATCTCTGTAGGTGTAGTCCTTCCTGGTGAATGTTGAAGCGAGTATCTAGCAGTTAGATCAAAAAGGAAAGGGCGAGATGAATTTATTCATCCTTTTAACAGTCCAAACGAGGATTTTATTATTTATTTTTTTATTTCCGTTATCCCTCATTAATCTAAGTGTATGTTATTTCATTGCATTTTAATGCTTGTGTATTTTAGGATGTGTTTAATAAATTTGGAATTATAAATTTATAAAACTGATACTCTTTTTCAGTCTTCTTTACACATTTTCAGATTTTATAAGGCAGTTCGTTGATGCTTATACAGGGTGCATAGGAAAGTCCCTTTAACTTGAAAATTCTTGCAAATGGAGAGAGGTGAGGTAACGGTATAATAAAGTGACTATGCCCGAACTAATACAAATTACAGCAGCACCCCTAGTGGTGAAATTTGGAAAATGAGTATTGTGAATCGAAAACGAAAAGAGATAGAGCATGCTTTCCAATTAGAAAGTTTTAGAGCATCAATTAATTAGTATAAAATGACATTTGGTTCACACGGATAAGATAAATTGTTGCCTGTATACCCAAAGATGTCCGCAATCAATACACTCCATTTTGTGTAAACGTTTAAAAGGAATAGCCATAGGTATTAAGAAGTGTGCACCTTTTTACTGCATAAAATATGTACTTATGTCAGTGCAGTTTGAGAGCATCACACGCACCCCCCAAATAAAAAAAAAGAAAACTCAGACTGTCACATGGTGATAGCAAGTTAATGTTATTGTCTGCCATCGAGATTATAATGAGGTTTAAGATTATGCTGTTTGTATGAAACGAGAGCCAACACATTTTAAGCTAGAATTATTTTAAATGAATTGGAAATTAAGGTTTTACAGACGTTACAGTACAGTACAGCATCACAATCTGCAGTTTCGCACTGCTTCATTTCCATAATGTGCATATGCAGAGTAGAATCGTCGCTCATCAATTGTGGGCATCTTTGAGTATACAGGTGACAATGTGAACCAAATGTCGTTCTGTATTAATTAATTAATGCTCTAAAACTTTCTAATGGCCAATTTTGCTCTAGATTTTTTCATTTTCGATTTGCAGTGCCTATCTTCCCAATTTCACCACAAGAGTTACTACTGTTGTTTACATTAGGTCCTTAACTACACTGATACTTCACTTGCATAGCTGTAGCTCTTACTGTTTGCAAGAACTTCTCGGTTGAAATTCTCACATCCATGAAGAATTAAAGATAAAATCCTAATCACAGCACATAATTTCTTTTAAAAAATGCAAAATTCTCCTTATTGAGCCATTCAAGAAATTGTGAACTATGATCCAACAGTTGAGAACACTGTTAAAAGACCTAGAACAATTCACCATGACTCGTGGTAGTGGTAGTAAATCTGTACAAATGTAAATAAAAATTTTCATTGTACTTTTACTTCTCCTGATAAAGCAGGAAATGAACTTTGATTTACCTGGTAAAGCGGGTTAAGGACTTAACTTATAAACTATTATTTCATTTATTTAATCCTCATTATTATTCAATGTTTTAGTGTATTTGTAAATACTTTACTACTAAAGTTTGAGTGTGAATGTTCACCTTTAGCCAAATCTCCATGGGACTTCAATCCTACAGATGAAGTTTCAGGATTATTTCTCCATTTACGCAAATTATGAAATTGAAAATTTTCTCATTACCCGATTCACATCACATGACCAAGAAATCTCAAGTTTCATCATTCTGTATATCTAAAAGACAGCATAAATAATATATATATGAATTAGAGACTGAATTTCAAGACCTTAAGACCACAGTGATTAATTCGCTTGCTGATAAGAACTTTCTGAGTTTATGAACTTAGCTTTGAACTCTTGACTTTGCCAAAGTAACAGCATTGTGTGTAAGGTGCAATTGCACCATAATTCAAATATTACCATGATTGGCCTTAATGCTATAAACTAAATCAACTACAGTCAAAAGTCGTTAATCCGGATTCGTCGGGACTTCGGCGATTCCGGATTATAGATCATCAGTTTAAATCTCGTAAGATGGCATGCAGAAATTCTAAAATTAAAAATATGAAATTTATGAAATAAAGAACAATTATGATCTAAAGGGTATCAAAATTTACAAAAAAAAAAGCTTATTATTTATTTTTTGTTTACTTTATTAAACATTTCTTTCAATGTAAGTTGTTTAAGTTGCTTCATTTTATGTGATAATACTTTCTCTTTAATTCTATAAACAGACATATTTCTTGTTCAGTTACAAAGTCCCGTTAATTGCTGTGCCGAGAATACCGACTAACTTGTCAATCGAAATTTTTTCGTTTTTCACTAACCTCTCTGTCACATCTTCATGTCTTTATCCATTTTTTGTAGCAATTCCACTTTTGTTTGTTGGACATCGAAAACATACTTTCGTTTTTGTAGATCCTTTGGAAGTTCCAGCATCGGAAATTCTATTTGACATAATCGAAAGTTCAAGTTTACTTTTATAAAATTGCTCTTACAATCTGCAAAAAAATAATAAGCGGGATCCAATTCAAAGATTAAGGAACAACGCAATCATTAACATTAACTGAAATAGTTAATTAGATAATTTTAGCTTACACCGTCCGTTATACATTAAACGTGCAGGCGAAAACGTATTCTGCACTTGCGCACACGCATATGTGCAGTAGTCAAGGTCTTACGCGCACGCGTAAAACGCCTGTGTGCATGTGCCAAAAGCGGCGCATGCGCAGAAAGTTTTTAGCTTTGAGGTCCAGATTATAGATTATTCTGGATTATGGGTGCCCGAATTAACGACTTTTGACTGTAGTACAAACTTGCAGTAGTTGAAGCTAGTAGCAAAGTGATGATCCATCCATTCAAAAATTTTCAGGTTAAACTAACTTCCCTATGCATCCTGTATAACAAGCAGACCAAAGTATTTATGTACAATCTTGCTACTCAAATTGTCTATATTAATATGCACAATAATTAATATCATGTCTGTTATTTTTTTCAGTGTTATCTTGGTGATGCATTTCGCTGTGCAAGTTGTCCTTATTTAGGCATGCCAGCTTTTAAACCTGGAGAGAAGATCGTTTTAAGTGATAACCAACTAAAAGCAGATGTTTAAGTTTTATCATATTTTGATTTTGAGTTAAGAGTATTTTTATGAGCATCAAACTTTGAGAGATATATCAGCTAGTACTGAGATCCTTGTGAAGTGTGCTTCACAAAATTTGTAATGTTTGAACATATCAATTTTCCTGAAGGTTTTACAGTGGAGAATTAATGAAATGCAAATTTGTATTTTTGCTAAAAGGTACGCATTTTTAAGTTATGTGTTTTTGTCATGACATTTATTTAAATAAGATGTTAAAAATCTGATCTCTCTCTCTCCTTTTCCCTCCCTACCCCCTTTTTTGAAATCTCAGGGGTTAATATTTTATTTGTCTTTGATTTTAAACATCTAATAATGTAAACCTGATGAACTGAGTGTTCTAATGCTATCATTTCTAAGTAAATTTTTAAGCCTGAAAATGTTTTACATCTGTAATGTAAACCTGATGAACTGAGTGTTCTAATGCTATCATTTCTATGTACATAATTTGTAAGCCTGAAAATGTTTTATATTCAAGTAATATAAATTTGGCTTAATATTAGGTTTCAGTATGAATAATATAAAGAAAACTTTAAAAGTTAAAGATATTTAGTATTTATCGCAGTCCAAATTATTATGTACTTATTGTTTTCAGAATCTTTTAAAAAAGAGTAAAAGGCCTTGTAAATGGAGTATTTAATTACGTTGCTTTATTTCATTTAAATGGACAACTGTGTATGAAAATATATACAATCATTAGTTGACAAATTGTTAAAGAAAGTTATCTTCAATTTGTGATTTTTACTGTATATTAAAAGGTCCGTCTATAATAAATTTTTAAAGTAAAAGGATTTTTCTTTTTAGGTTCAGATATTGTAATAAAATTATTTTGGGAATTTAAAAAAACTTTCTAATGAGAATGTTTTATTTAATGATTTGTATAAATAATCTTTTTTATAAGGTAAGCAGTGATTTTATGTAAAAAATGTTGAAAAGCTATTTTTCATTGAAGCTAATTAAGTGTTTGCTTTTTTTTTTGGGGGGGGGGGCGTCTGCATGAATAGCAGCAGTAATACTTATGGACAAGTTATTTACAAATTAGTTACATTATGGTATTACTTATCAATAAATAATATAGCTTACTTTATTTTGTAAGTGAATGAAAGTTGTAGTTAAAATTAGTTCTAGGAGGAAGATATAAATAACTGCTGATTTTAAATAACGTTGGTGTGTATGCAAAGATATTGTACCTTAGTAAAATATTTCTATGTTATACATATTGCTATGTTGAAAACTTTGGCTAATAACTTCTTTTTATATTTAATCATGAAATTCTAAGCAAGTACTTTTTATATGTTGAAAGTGTTTTGATGAGTTAATTTATTCAAAATATATTTTTAAATGTACATATTCTGCACAAAGAAATGTATGTGTACATAAAATTTTGTTGGTATTTCACATAAAAGTTGATTGTAATAATTTTTATTAGCTAAAAAATATGTTTATATGAAAGCTGGAACTTTGTACATATAACTATGTGAACCTCATATAACTGTATTCTGTATATATAGTTTAAATATCTTTTCTAGAAGTTTTGACTCACTCTCTGTGTAAAGTATTATTATTGAAAAATCTAATCTGTATGTGATATAACAGGAAATGCAACTACATTTCTGATTAAATAAGTGATAGAAAGCTTACTATAGTAAAAATATACATTAATACATATGAGAATTGTTTTGTTTCTCGTGACAGAAAAAAAATACGATTGCTTTATATAAAAAGTATGTATATTTTTGTATATTTTGTTATTATGTATATTTTAAGTAACCTAATTTTTATTTTAACTGTCTAGAATCAAAATAATTTTAATTGATTAATTACAAAGATGAAAAATACAAGGAAATATTAAAAGATTTTTCTTGGAGACCAAAGGATATTTTTGTGATTAACACTTAAATTGATTATTAACAAATTATTAAAAGCTTTGCCTAGCTGATGATATAAAGTTGAAGAAATTATAAGAAGGAAATGTGGAAGTAACCACTTGGCAAATGCTACTGTTCGGCTTTAGAAGTAACTATTTGTTTATAAGTTTATTGTTAAATAGAGAGAGAGGAGTAGCCAAAACATTTTAAATTATTAGCAATTTTTTCAAGCTAAGCCTATTAAAATTCATATTTCGAATCTGATCAGAATTTCTGGCAGAAATTGTTGCTTGGTTTCCAAAATGTAAAAATATTTTTAAAAAATAAATTTGTTTGTGTATCTGAGTTATTAATGTCAATAAAAAATAAATATGTATTTTGAATGCAGTTGTTTTCTGCAGTATTCTAGTGCCAAGTTTTCTATTCTAGATTTTCATTAAAAAACTGCAGAAAATAGTTAAGCTGCACCAAAAATGAATGAATGTATATTTAAGAATTTTTTATGTTATACAGTATTTTTTATAAAAAAATTAGCCATATTTGCATATTTTTAAATGAAAAAAAGATATGTGAAAGTATGTAGCATATATTTATATTTCTAAATTTAGTTCTGTGTAGAAATTGCTTGGAAGTATGAATATATTATGTCATACATTTTAATTAATATTTTATGTGTTTGATTATCAGTGTGATGTTATCTAATAATTATTCACAGGCTCTAAGGGGTAAGATATCACTTTTTTTTTTAAATGTGAATTATAATAATGCTTTTCAGGATTTTTTGTGTTATGTATTACAGCTATGGAAAACTTGGAAACTTTAGACATTAAAATTAGTATTAGGTTTGCACAGCTATTAGCATGCTTATAAAGTAATAATTAGAGGTATAAATATTTGTTTAATTTAATATTTCCACCTTGTTCTTTGTGAGGTAATTTGCTCTAGGGTTTCTTGCCTTTTATTTAGAATCACCAATTAGGATTTACCTTGCTTAATTATGCAGATCTCTGCTGGATTAAAGGGAAATACAATGATTTTTCATAAATAGTAAATGGTCTGAAGACTGTTGTATTCAATTTTTTGAATAAAATTGTGTAGCATAATAGGTTTGAGCAAACATATATTTCATTTAGATACAATTTTGGAAACATATTTTTTTTTTTTTAAATCATTTGAATGTATTGTTAAATTGATCATAACAGTCACTCTCGTGTTACATGTATTTTCAGCATTATTCAGATGCTTTTTAGCAAATTTGTAGTAACTCATGTTAACAGTATTGCATTTCTGTATGTTTTAAAAACAAAAAATGATTATATTATTTTTCCTCTCTGAAGAATGACTGTATTTTTTTAATTGATATGATGAGAGAAATTATTACAGTTTGAATAAAAATCAATGTTACCGACACTTGCATAAGTACTTTTTTATCATTTTATTAATTAAAATTTAATTAGTATTTTTAACACCTTTGTTAACCCAGCTTTTAGGAAAGAGCTGTTTTGTATTGATCTACAATTTGAAATAATGAAACGTGGTGTATATTTGAATGTTAGTTGCAGTTAAATGGCTAAGCAGTTTTGAGAGTTTCTGTGATCAGAAGTATATTAACATGTTTTTGTCATAATTAAATTATTCTATTTATGTTTGAAATATTTTTGAATGGATCATAGTAGTGTAATTGCATTCCCATGTTGTGTAATTCTGTATTTCTTATGCAGTTTAGAAAAAACAAATTTAGTAGATATAGATGTTTCATTAGCAGATTAATGTAAATAAAAGACATGTTAGATAATACTTTCTGATTTGAATTGAGATACTTACAGAGTGTGTAAGTATCTCAATAAATAATGTTGTGTACATAACGTATATGTATATAATGTGCAGTAATTAAGTATGTGCATGGGAATGCATTCTGTTTGTTGTTACACTCTTGGTGCTATATCATTGGTTAGAACCCCTTTGTTTTATGTTTGCTCATGTATTTTAAGTGCCTGCTTTTGCACATTTGACTAGGATTTTATGTATTAGTTTCTAATGAAATCATCTGCTTGATACAGTGCATAGTTTTTAAAAGGATTAAACTGCAAATGTAAACTAAAATTGAGTTTTTAAATAAAGCATTATGATTTTTAACTGTTTTCATTTGTTGCACATACTTATCACTCACGGTAACCATGTTTATATTCTGCATTTAAAAAAATTCAAATTAAATTCTGCATATATATTTTATTTTTTAATACTTGCATAATATCATAATTTTTGCATACTGAATTGCATTACATACTTTTAAATATGCTTTTTCTGGATTTCAGAATTTTTTAGATCGGTCTTCAGGTACAATAAATCGTATTTCAGTTTAAGTAATACTTATTTTCATAGTCATTGAATGAATTTATTTTGTAAGAAAAGGAATAAGTCAGTTGTATAATTTATATCTGGCAGATTTATATATATATTATTATATTAAGTTTGTAGCTAGCCTCATGAAATAAATAATTATTCATATCTTTTCAAGTCATCAAACTGCAGACTTTGTGCACTGAAATATTGAATTTTAGCATTCAACTTTGTAAAGAAGAAAGGCTATTTTATTAATTGGATTTTTTTCATAAGAGAATCTTATAAAAAATACATTCTATATTTAAGAAGCCCAATTATCTACAACTACGAAAATTGTTGTTGTAAAATTATGTGCTTTATTTTTTTAATTAAAAGTACAGGAATCGATATGTAAAAAAGTAAAGCTGCCTTTTCTGGTCATCTTAAATGATTAGAAAGATTTAAGTAGCAGGAGAATACAGTTGCTTTGTGATTTCATATTAATATTGTGTGTAAACCGTTAGTCTAATATGCTAAGCATTTACTTGCAGCTGCATATTTAATTTTTAAATGATTATTAATTTTAAATTATTTGATCTAAGAATAATACCTAAAAATTATGAATTGTAAGTACATAGTAAGCAAATAAGCTCCAACTAAAGAAGTTCATTCAACTGAACTAATTAAACAGTAGAAAAAGTATTACACCAAAAGTCAAAACTTAATTAATACATAGAAAAAATCAAATGCATGGTTCATGCACTACTTAAAATCCTTAAAAAGTCCTTTCCAGAAGTGTTTATTGTTTTGGCAGAAGTGGCATCCTTGAAAAGTACTTATTTTGCATTTAAATAACTCTTCTAGGAAAGCTGCTGCTGTAAAGGGCAGGACGAGGGTTACTTTAAAACTTGCTTTTACCAGTTCTTTTGCTTGTGAAATGCATATATGCAGTATTGATTGACATCTGATACTTTTTCTGCATAGTAAAGCCAAAGGATTTCTAAAAACTAAATGTTCTTTTTATGAACTGAACATTCTTTTGAGATTTATGATTTTTGTGTAGTTTAGTTCTTTGGTTTAGTATAGCTAAGTTATGTGGCAGTTGCTGAGTGATTTTATTAAACAGGCTATATTACTCTGAATAACAACACTGGTGCTTATAATTTCGTCAGGCCTGGAAAATGTGTATCCAATGTTATTTGGCTTGTAAATCAACAATATCAAAACTGGTTAAGGCAGCATATGATAAATATAATCTTTTATGAAAGTTACAGATTTGGATAGCATGGGAGAAGTGACACTGAAAGCTGACATGAGAGTTATGCATATTTACCACGTGACTGCAATAATATAGCATCAAATTTTGCTGTGAATAAATATATTCAGCAAATCGATTGCAGACTTTCAGGAGAATACACCTAGACGATGGAAAATCATACAGCATTGTATGGTCGGAAACGCTTTCATGGTATGGTATTGATGATACAAATCACAAGAAAGGAAGGTTAGAAAATATATTTATTATGCTTAGTACACCAAAAACCAGGAAATAAGAACGAAAGCAGATAAGATCATCATCAAACTTCGAAATTATAACCCTGGACCGTGGTGCAGGAACTGTGCACTTATTGTTTTACTGTGCGTCATGCATCTTCCATGCGCTGAAGATGTGAGGTACCATGGAAAATGGTCTTTGTGTGTTTAATTGGTTGATTGACAAACTCATCGTATTTCCTGAGTCCGGAATCTCTGTAAATTCTAATGATATTGTCATAGATCTTGTGTGCAATAGACAGGAATAGCTTCTACTTTCAGGTCTCTTTGCAAGATACTTGGTCTCACAAACTATGGCGCATTTGATGTGATCTGGAACCTCTTATTTTTGAAAGACTGGAATCTTTTTTGTAGGTAGACTTTGCAATAAATAGTCTAAGCAGGAGCAGCAAACATAACAATGGGTCCAATTATAACCTTATTAATTAGAAGTTTGGAATTCAGTGCTAGTGCCATATTCCTTCCTATAGGTTTTGGCTTATCAGGGCCACACTCTCCTTGTTCAGCACATAGTTAATGTGATCTTAAAATTTTTTTGTCAAATATTACACACAAGTATTATCTGAAAATTTGCGTTATTTTTGCTCATTACGCACATCCTGAGGCTGGTGTGGTCTTCGCACTTTGTGTTTCCTAAATAACATAAAAAAGCACTTGTCTACGTTGACAAATCTCTACTTATTACACCATTCTTTCATACTGTGAGGCATCTTGCAGATTTCTGAAGGTCTTTTAGCATCAATGAACCTTATGGAAATTGCCATTGTCATCAACAAAAATGACACCTTTGCAATTTGTTACGAGAACATCATTGATGAAGATGAGGAATAGCATAAGTCCGAAATATCCCTGACTGAATGCTTTTAGTGTTGCAGAAGCAAATGGCAATTCTGACTTGATAGGTGCAGGCTTCTCAGGTGTAAGATGTTAAGGTACAGAAAGCCATAGCCTGCAATTCTTTTTTTTTTTTTTTTTTTTTTTGAATGAGGCCTGCCAAATCTTGTCAAAAACCTTTTCAAAATCTGGGAAGCAAGTTGCTGTGGCATTTTATCTTTAAATCCATTGCAGATGATTACTAGTGAAACTGGACAACTACTTTGAAGATTTGATGAATAGTTGAATGTACGGAACTGAAGCTAAATTAATGAGGGGCATGTATATTGTTAATCTTAGCAAATCTCTTAACATATCCAAAGATCACTTTCTTGAACAGCTTGCCCTCTGTGGGTAACAAGCTGGTTGGTCTATAACAGTGTTCTCAACCTTTTTTCCCCATGCACTCCTTTCACCATTGCTAGATGATCATTGGCCCTCTTTCCAAAACTTGAAAAATATATATACATTTATTTAAATTTAGTTATAATTTAATCCAGAAAAGTGTAGGAAATGTTGATAAATACCAAAACCTACATAAAAATAGTTTTTTTTTTTTTTTTTTTTTTTTTTTTGTTCATACACTAAAACTAAACCCTTAACATGTAAATAAAAAGCTGATCGCCTCCCCCCCCTCTTGTTTTTTTAACACAGACAGTTCTTTTATATAATATTAAACTACTGTGGCAAACCTGAAAAGGTATGAAAATCTGGTATAACGAATTCTGCGGATATCTTTGATTAAAACGTTTTTGTATTTTTCACACTTGTTTTCAGAATGTGTACAAGTTTAAACGAAAAATTTACTAACCCTTAAAATCGTTCATGTTTAGGATGTTAGGATCCACATTCCATGCATACAAATAAACACTTTTACGTTACTTTATCTTTTGTTTTTACTTCCACTTTTCTGTGTGTTCTAAATGCAGATTCTGCAGACTGACGTAAACTAAATTCCAGGTTACCTTAGGAAAGGCGAAGGAAGCGAAACTGTCTATTGTGGAGTAAAAGCTTAATCTCGTTTAACCTTTTCCAGCATACTACCTTTTAAAGTTGGAATTTCGACAAAAACAAGGTAGGCAGTCTAATCAGCCCTTGTAAAGATAACACTTACTGTTTTAATTCCGTCTGTGTGTCCGAAGCAGGCTCACTGAGTGAAGCAAATTTAGCATTAAACAGGTTGTACCACGGGGAGGCCTGCTACTCTGTACCCCCAAAAAAGCTGTTCTTGGTTATATGATGATTACATGCGTATAAATGAAAAAATGTAACTTGAGTATAAAATATTTACATTTCATATTTACACTTTCGTCTTTTTTTTTTTTTTCTTCATGGTGGTACTTTTCGAAGAAAGTGACACCACCTTTAAAAAAGCACAACCCAACACTGCATATTTTGCACATGTACCGGGATGCGTATCAGATTCACTATCTGAGGGCAGTTCATGTAGCACTTTCAGTGATTTAGAAATAGTCAGCCCTCTCCGTTTTGCAAAATAATTAAAAATCAGAAAAAGTAAACTAATACTATATCTACAATTCGAAAATATTAACTGTAAAATAAATGTAAATAAACGTCTACAACTCAAAAGTACCAAAACGTAGTGCTTACAAAACTTCTTTGAACGAAAAAAAAAAAGAAAGTGAAAGTGAAAGAAGGGGAACTACTCTAGTGAAAAACCAAACAGCTAACTGAAAAAATTACCCCTGATTTTCAGAAAATCACTCCAACAATTTCTTAGTTGATAACCAAATCCCCCCCCAAAAAAGGGGGAAAAGCTGCTCTTTTTTTAGTCCAAAGGGGCTTTCTCCCTGAAGGACTATTGTTTTCGTTTTGCGATTTTGCGTTGAATCACTATAAATGTCCGTTTCACTTTTCAAACTGTTGCCACCAAATGTTAGAGTCCTGCATTATATTTGAAGAAATTAAATAATGAAAAATCTGCATGAATGTATGTATATTCCTCGCATTGTGATAAAACAACGGTACACAGAAGGTCCATGTACACAGAGCCATCGAATTTTGAATGACGTAATCTTCCTACCAATATGGGCATGTGGAAGAACAAATTTGAAATTTGGAATTTGTTTTATTATCGATTTCATATTTTGTAAAACTTTAACGAATTTTTGATTAACAAACTCAAGGATTAATTTAGAAGTCAAACAACAAAAATCAGCGTTATATTTTCAAATTTGCAGTTCTCTTCCGTTTCTCGACATTCTGGTCACACGTAACACATCCAACTTCAGTACCTTCATCGGTTTGCCTTCCACCACACTTCAAAACTTGTCATCCGACTAAACAAAAGTTAGTTTTAAAGGATTTGAAAATAGCTATGGATTTAATATGAAAAAATACTTTAATTGCGGATATTTACAAAATTTAGAAGCAGTTATTCTTATAAACAACGATAGAGCTTTTTTTTTTTTTTTTTTTTTTTTTTTTTTTTTTTCCAAAACATAAAACTTAAACAGTGTTGAGTTGTAACTGGTATTACTCAAACAACCTCCCACCTTGCAATTTGTAGAATACCCATAAATTGCAACAAAAGTTATAAATCAAGTCTCTTGGGAATTTTAATACGTCGATAGCTCTAGTCACAAAATATGGGACTTTGGTGATGAATTATCATTTTCAATGGAATCTGAATCATTAGCTGCAGGGCGTAGATGCATATTCGTAGAGGCACTTTTATCCCTTCGAGCATCTTGGGCAATGAATGGTAACTTTTCCTAACTGTTGATTTCTAACGGATAAAGTCTCTGGAATGGTCTCAACTTCTCTCCATCAGCTGTCCTCACTCTGGCAACTCTTGAGTGCCCATCTGCTCCAGAAAAGACTATCAGTTTCTAGAAGCGACCTCTTCAACTCTTAAAGATTATTCCCGGCTCTGACCTTTACGAATCAACATTGCTAAATACTCATTCCGAAATCTCATTCTTAAATCCTGCCTTAATTTTTGTACAAAACGAAATCTTATATTTAGGCTTTTACGGTCGATTTCGTCTAAATCAGTTGTTTCACTGCTAGGACTACTTTGTAAGAAACAAGCGGGAGTTAATGGCTTCAGATCTTCAGAATTGTCTTCAATATATGTAAGTGGCCTAGAGTTTTTTGTAGCTTCGCAGTCACAAAAAATAGTTTCCAACTCTTCATAGTCGAGACTTTTCCTGCCCCAAATTCTTCTTAGCATCTCTTTCAACATTCTAACCATGCGCTCACACCATCCTCCCCACCAGGCGGCTTTTGGAGAGCTAAAATTCCATTTGATTTTCTTGATAGTGGAAAACGTCATGATCTTCTCCCAATCTACATTTTTTAGAGCATTGCGTGAACCAATGAAGTTTGTACCATTGTCAGTGTGAATTATATTTACTCTACCTCTTCGAGCAAAGAATCTTCTTAAAGCCGTAGTAAAAACTTCTGTAATACAGTTGTCCACATAAAAAGACTCTTTGAGACGATAAGCTGTTTCTTCCTTTCATCCGGAGCGTTCTCTAGATGGTAAGCTATAGTTACCTCTAGTAAAAATGGACCAGGAGAAGCACCAAATACCACTCTACAATGTTGGAGCGTGATTATTTCTTCTTGTCTTGATAAGTCTTTCCACCGCAGAAATTTAAAATATTCCCTATCCTCTGGATTCAAACTTATTTGTAAAAATACTTTTTTGATATCTGATGTTACGCCATTTGCGTTTTTCTGAAACTGCATTATCAATTTGGGTACCAACTCTAATAAATTTGGCCCTTTTTCTAAACAATTATTCAAGGAATTTCCTTTGGAATCTTTCATCGACGCATCAAAAAACCGGACGAATTTTTTTTTATTGTTACACCAGTTTTTATCACAGGATGATGTGATAAATAGTGACCCCTTTTTCTCGTCTTTATCTATAGTTTCAATAATTCCATCTTGAACACACTCATTAAACACATCATCATATTCTCTTAAATGTCCAGATCTAATGAGGTTTTTGGTAGTTGACATCCAACCGTTTAGTTGCTAATTCTTTATTCGTTTCTAATTCTGGACGTTCACTTTTCCATGGCAAACATACTTCATATCTTTTGCCTTCGTTTCTTTTAATAGTTTTACGGGAAAAAAATCTACCGTTTCTTCATCGGTTACCTGCCTTGACTTTACTTCTGCAGGACATCTTATATCGATGACATCTAGGGTCTATAGTTCCGCCAAATTCTTTCTTTACCTTTTTACCTTGAAGCGTCCATCCAAGTTTTGTTTTAATAGCTACCAAATTATTATCAATGGGCTCAATTCTTCCAGTGAATAACGCGCCAAGATAATCTGCTCTTATTAATAAATTGGACACATAATGCTATGGTGTTTTTTGTTTCTTGCATATAATACACTTTAAATAACCTTTGCAGATCTTAGAATTGTGTCCTGGTTTCAAATAGACGAAACAACCCCCTCTTTTCTTCAATGTTTCCCTTTTAGCCTCCAGTGACATCTCGGCAGCCTTAAAGCATTCTGAAGTATTATGAAATGACTTGTTACAAAATAAGCAATGCTTGCCATTTTTTTCAGCTCTTTGCTTTTCATTAGATACAATACAAGCTGCAGTGGAAATTTTTTCTTTCGCTTTAAATTTTTTAAATTGATTATTCGCAAGCCCTGATCGGGCTAAAATTCGGGGTAAGTTGGCGCCAAACTATTTTGGCCTTCAAAATTTGGTGAATTTTTTAGGCGCACTAAATGAAAGCACTAAAATGTGATTTTTAACAGTAAACAGAATAATAACTTTTAAATTTTGCAGTGAAACGCCGTTATTTTATATAAACAGAATAGTAAAATGAGATGATAAAATATTAGATGAGTAAAACAAAGTCCAACAACTTTGCAAGTAAAAGCATAGTCCTATATATATGTAATTCATCATAAAATAGTAGAATGAATAATTCTTGTAAATAATTATTGAGTAAATAAATGTATACACTTATCAGATCAGAGCACTGAGAAATCAGTTTTAAACGTAAACAGAATCCGCGATTCCAGCGCTCTGATGCGCCATCTAGTGGCTAAAAAGTGGAAAAATTAAAAATCGGTATTTACGTTTGACAATACTACGTAGTTTGTGAAGCGTGTTGTGATCGAAAAGTAATTAAACTTTTATTTTTTACTGTTGTGGGAATTATGTGTTCAGTCGTTTTAACCACTTGTAGGACAAATCTAAAGAAAATGCTTGTAATATCATGTAATCAAAAGTTAACTACATGTTATTCATTATAACAATGTTCAATATCAATTATAACAATGTTCAATAACAATTATAACAATGTTCAATAACAATATAATGATTCAATATCATTTTTATGGGAAAAAAAAGACAGTTTTGACTGCACAGATTTTCTGGAAAACCCAAGTTAAACACATATGAAATCATTTGTTTACAATCAGTGAACGTTAAAATGAGCTACCTGTCGCAATATAAAAAAACAGTGACACAATTTCCTACAACAGCCAGCAGTTCCTCCTTTACATGAACAAGAAATTTTCCTTTTTAACGATGAAATGTCATTCGATTTCATGCGATCAAGACGCTATACAACTTATCCTTAAATAGGAAGCCAAAATTTGTAAATTGGATTTTTCAAGTAAAATTCCGTGCATTACCAAATAATCCGCTTTTTAAAATTCTCTCTGCTTTAGTAACACAGCGAGAATTTACGCCTCCTTGAACAAAATCAAACATTTCGGAAAAGCTAAGCAACTCCACTTTTGAATGTACGAAGTCAGATCACAAATCAAAATACCGGTTTGTATCCACCACATTAATGTGTGAAAGCGCCACCTATAGGTGAATTGAATCGCTGATAGCAAATTATGCGTATTCAGCATCATAAACTTGTAGAGTTGCGCGCCTCCAACCTGCATGCAACCAAGTGGTGACAGCTGAAACTGGAAATTAGACATAGTCCTGCGAAGGGTTTAAGTCCCTTTTTATTCAACTTTAGAAATTACAAATGCGTGCTCTTGACGCTCACAAACTACGCCGACCCGGCGGTTAAAATAAAGAATAAGAACCTGAAAAGAAATAATAACAAGAGACTAACTACGATACTCTCTAAACGTAACTAACCTCACCGCGTTTTACAATACCGCTGCTAATTCAGCAAACTTTGAATATCACGTTGAACGATTAACAATTGGCCGAGACAAGCTCACAGGCCGAAACGCGTGGTTCTTCAATTTCTGGCTAACTACCTCTGCGCTGGTGAAGTAAGAACAGCACACCTCGAACTCGTTTCCTTTCTATTTAACTCAGAATATTTCCGCTGATAATTTGAATCCTTGCGCTTTCTACAAAAATTTACATACTCTGGCATTGGCAGTTCCAGGGGAAAGTAAGGCTTGACAGGAAAGATAGTTTAAACTTAAAATAAATGTTAGTTAAAATAAATATAAATCATACATTTGCCGCTGCCAGAATTTGGAAAACTTGGAAGCAGGTCCTACAAACGACCTGTTGTAAAGTTTCTACAATTCTAAACTAACTTTTAAGAGCCTCGTTTACATAAAAAAATCTTATCTCACAAAAGGTGTACTAAATTTCTGTAGATACTTATTTAAATCTCTCTTTTTACAGCAACTTTTCATGGACTTCAGCAATCAATCTTGTTCTTTTCCTTCCAGCATCTGGAAGGAATAAGTATCAGTATCTTTCTAAATACATTATAATTTACACTTTCTTGACACTGAATACATTTTTGTTTTTAAACGATTTATTTTCCTTAGTTACTGCTTACTTCACATTCATTCAATTATTCAAACATTAACTTAGCTTTACCCTGGCTCTCCACCATGTGTGGTGTCAAACGAGAATATTCGTGTTTTAGTATTACAACACTTCCCCTAACCACCATGATTTGTTAGAATTCAACGACCAAATAGACACACCTACTTGACATTCTACAACTCGATGAGCTACTTTAACATTCTTAAAATTCAAGTGTAGGTGGAGAACCCTACAAAACACATTCATTCTAACTTCCCCCTCATTCATCTTTAGACATGCAGGCTTTCGCTCTAAAGCATGATTTTATCTACAGTTTAATACTTAAATTTTGAAGTTATTGCTTTTGAGCATTTACTTTTAGTATCTAAAATTTTATGCTTCTAGACTAAATTCTACTTTTACATAACATTCAAGTATTTACGTATATTTACAAAATTCTAAGACATATGATTTTTACAATTTACCATAAAATGAATAAGAGAAAATAAATTTTTACTTTACTCATTCTTCGCCAAGCTGGCGGCACTGAAACTAAAATTTTCCATTAATACAGGAATAAGAAGTTATTTTATCTTCGGCCAAATTTTGGCTTTAACATAACAGAATTAGTCTTTCGACCAACAGAAACTGCTTGTTCTTAGATTTTATACTTAAAGAAAATAATACTTTGCCTTAGCTAAATAAAGTAAAACAAAACTAAGTCTCAACAGAGACATATTAACTTTCCTCAAAACATAGAACTTCGTACTTACACATAACATTTCGGAACAAAAGAAAAAATTTTATAGAAGATTTTAACTTATCTTTGAGTTTTCGATGATTGGAACTCCGTCATTCTTTTCTGGCAGAACTGTTCCCACGTTATAGGTATCATGGACGTCAATCTTCTCCTTAATGACCTCCGAGTGTCGTCCACATTAATTTTTCGTTTTCGTGCTCTGCATGCTGGCGTCTTGGCGTCGTAGTCGTCGGGTTGCTGTCTTTTTCGTTTCTCCCTTGGACGGCTGGTCTTGACGTCCTCCGGTCTGGAGTCCTTCTTGAATTTCTTCTGTTGTTGCTGGTCTCTTCGTTCCTCCTGCTGTTTTTTTCTTTTTGGGAACGACGGCCTTGTTTGCACCTGACTCTCTGGCCCTGAGAGCGTTCTCCTTGATGTATAATTTCTACTGCGATACGTTGTAGGTGGTGTTTTCCTCTTTACCAAGGTTTCTTTACGCGGTGGCTTTGCATTCTTGTTTTTCTTAAATGCTGGAGTCTGAAAGTTTTCGTTTTTTCTTTTCGGTACCGTCGCCTGGGTTGTAGAAGGGCTAGGTCTCTCTTCATTTGTCTGCTTCTTGGGTGGTGGAACGGGTGACGTTATTTTGGGACCTTCTACTTCTTTTACGCTTGAGTCCTGCAAGAAACTTTTAAGGATTTCAAAATCATTTTGATTATAGTATTTTTTTCAACCTGGTCGGAATTTGCTTTACAGATTTCCCCTCTCTCGTTCTTAAGGTACAATACGACTCCTTTGATTTCCTGAATTACATAGGGGGCCGTCAAATTTTGGAGCTAACTTTGCAGTAAAATTGTCTGGGGCACTTGATAAAGAAAATTTCCGCTTCAATACTTTATCCCCAACTTTAAAATCTGCTTCACGGCGTTTTCTATCGTAATATATTTTTTGCTTATTTCTTGCCGTATCGGAGCTTTTAAGCGCCTGATCAATAAGTTTTTGCACATCTTTCGTGTTAAACTCTTGCTCTCTTTGTTGCACAAAGAATAATTTATCTAAAGGCGTAATTAACTTTCGGTCCTAAAAATAATTCTGCTGGAGTTTTTCCCGTAGTATCATGATTTGCTGTTCTTAAAGCATAAGCTAACTCATTTATGTAGCCATCCCAGCGCTTGTGATGTGTGCTAACGTAACTGCGAATTATTTTTACGATGTTTTTATTAACTCTTTCTGCTATGTTTGCCTGTGGTCTATACGGAACCATTTTGATATGGCGTATGCCAAGTCCAGTGCATATGTTTTCAAATATTTGACTAATGAATTGTTTTCCGTTATCGCTAATGACTTTTATCGGTGCACCGTATTTTAAAATGTATCTGTGTAAGAATGCACCTGCCACTGTTTTGGCTGACGCGCGTTTAAGTGGAACAATTTCTGTCCATTTTGAAAAATGATCTACTATTACTAAAAGAAAACGATTTTTATTTAACTCGCTCTGGGGGAAGGGACCAAACAGAT